CCAATTTCCTTGCTTCTGAATCATTCCCATGGCTTTGAGGTGTTTTGAAATGGCTTGTTGAGTCACTCCCAATCGTGCCAATTCTTCTTGATTTTGACACGAGTCTTGATCAAGTAATGCCTCCAACTCTGCATCTTTGAAAACCTTCCCTCTTCCACCGCTATGCTGGTTTTCGACGTCAAAATCACCGTTCTAGCATTAAAACCATTCACGATACGTTCTTTCACTAATAGCGGCCTCACCATAAGTATTTGAGAGCATTCAATGAGCCTCAGCCGCAGATTTCTTCATATTAAAGCAGAAAATTAAAACCTCCCGCAAATGACGAGAATTTAGCTCGTAAACTGACATTTTAAATCGAGAATAACTTTATGATGCAGACACAAATCGACTAATGTTTCTATGGAGTTATGTTGACAGATGTCCAAGTTTATTGTATGACGTTTATGATCTATTTATTTCGACCACCACTTATTGCTAAAGCCATTTATAGGAAAACGGTGGAAGCAAAATTGTACACCTAATAATAAAATAAAATTATTTTCAAATACTGGCGTTTAATTTTCTTTACTTTACATCGGATATAGTATTTTACATAATAACGAAACGTTAGACCCAGGAAAAGCGTCCCGTTTCGTAATTGCATAGAATTAAAACGTTTTTATATGTAAATATTCATTTGAAATAAAAAAAACATCATTTTGTATTAAATTATCTTAATGTTTTATTGATACATTTTTTTAGGCATATTGCAAAAAAAAAACAGGGCGACTGGGATCGAATATGAGTCGGCAGCGTGGTAGCAAGGGAACTTAACGCCTTAACCACGCCGCCTTCTTGCAAATTTCGTCTAACGAAACCGGTATACAGGGTGTTCTAAAACCACCGGAATTGCTCTTAATGGTAGATTCCTTATAATATTTTAAGAAGAAAATTCTAATACAAAAATGTCGAGTCTATAATAGCTTTTAAACGGGAAGCGATTACATTTAACGAATGGCAGGATTGAGATTTCGCGCGCTCAGGTACGGAAAAATGACAAATGCAAAAAGTGCTCCTATTAATGGGATACTCTGTTTATGATATTATTGTCATATAAATTTGCAATATGTTTTCGCTTCTTTATGTATTGCATATTAATACATTTTTTCACAAATAAAAGATGTAAAAACTAAAGGCATATCAAAACTAATTTAAGTAAAAATGTGCATATTTCAACCTGAGCTGTCAAAGTCATCGATTAACATTACCATGAAGGTGTCTATGCTACGCTGTGCGAGACAAATAAATTGTAATAGAATTAATAGCTGTTTATTTTGTATTTTAGAACATTTTTTAATGTTCGTAACGAAATACAAATTGCAATGGTTTTAGTAAAAGTCAATTTAAACAATAATTATAATTCAAACATATTTAATAAACCTTAATTTAATACACTTTAAAAAATTAACACTGTTAACATATTTAACGAATTTTAATAACAACAAAACAGTTTAACAGATTAAATAACAAATTAATTTTTTTTTTACAATAAATGTTCAAAGTGTCCACCATCGCATTTAATACATAATTGTGCGGG